AAAAAAAAAAAAACCTAATATTTCTATTCTAAGATTAAAAATTAATAATCCTTGCAATGTATAGCGGGAAGACATCTCAAATCGATATGGGACAATATATGCCAACAATGGTTGCAAGGAAAAGAGTGACGTTCTTTTGTTTGATGTTGGATTTCTTCATATTTTTGAAAATTTGTCGGGGCTCTGAGAGTATATTGGGTTAAAGCTAAAGAGATAGAGGGTGATTGGATTGGGCAATCCAGCATTAGAAGGAGCAAGACAACATAAACAAGAGATGTTTGTTTGGTTTCCAACCAACCAAAGTACATGGACCTGCTATGTAAAATGCAACTCCAAGAGTGCAGAGGACCACACATAGACTCAAACCATGTGCATCAAAACACCCAGTCAGACGCTCTCTCAGTAGGGACACGAAAACCCCGCAAATTTCACCTGGTGATGGAAAATGAAATTTTTGTGTCATCCGATCCCCTTTGAGTCTTTGACACTACTTGAATTTAGGCTACATTGATTGATAATGACAAGTAAGATGACATTCAAAATTCAATTTCACTTTGCCAGTAACAAGAAACCTAAGGAGAGAATTAAGGGCCCTGCCGTGGAAAAAAAAAAAAAAAAACTCTACCTGAATTCTCTGTCATAGGGTGCTAAAGTACCCTAATTTCTAATTGGACACTCCATGTCCCACTTCTTACACATATACCAGATTGGAAGCCATCATAACATTCATCCCAAATAAGCTGAGGCAAGATTGTAGTAGGGTGGGGGCAGGGTGTGTCCTTGGTGGCACTAATTGAATTGTCCTTTTATGAAAATTTGAAAACACTCCCTAATTGTGATCCCATGTGACCATTGAAACTCCATGTGCTAATAAGGAACCAAACAAACAATGTATCATTGATCATGAAAGATTATTACAAGATCCAAGTTTCATAATTTCAGTGTACTTTTATCTAATTATAAATATAGATATTTTATCGTAATAACTACATTTAATTGTGAGTAATATAATAAAAAATTAAATAAATATGTAAAATTTAAATTCAACACTTCTAATTTAAAATTCTTAAAATCCAATCTGATACAAAGGTTGCCTTCTATCTTCATTTTCATGACGGGTACACTAGAAGTCTAGACAAATTCCACTATGCTTTTCTATGAAGGATCTACTTAAAAAGTTGGCCTAGCTATTTAGGCCTGACTAGGTAATTTTTGCATCCAATTCAGATCTCTTTTGGTTCATAAGATAATGTCTAGTCATTCAGAAAGGGTAAAAAGTTCAGTCATAGCTAGACCAGCTACAATCATATAAATCAACATCGCAGGTGAGAAAAATACAAATTAAAGGGGTGATGACCAAAGCAATGAACACTTTGGAGAGAATCATGATGCCATTTTGTGGTCTAACCCTCAAACACCCCATAAAGGTATTGTTCTCATCTCCTAGAGGTTAGAAGGTTTTAGGTCCACCAAAATGATAATTGAATGTTTAATTAAGACATTTAGATTATACCCTAAAAAGATTAACATAATTCATTACGAATATGGCCCAATTGGGCACCAAATCTGAATTGAAGAGACTATTCCCAGACGCAATACTGAATCCAAACAAGAGTGAAATTCACAAAATAATTTATGTGGTTGCGAAAAAGGAAGGGAAGATTAATACCATATGAAACAAAGGAAGGAGGCAGTAAATGGTAGGATTTTTTTT